AAATTTAATGGTACTGTTTAACTTGTACTCCTTTAAATGGTTATAAGAAAAAAGTCTTGTTCTTTGTCAGTATTGTAAATACTGAGTATACAGTACTTTGAATCTCTTTCAGATGATGTGATTAAATATTCAGTGCCTTGAGAATCTTTGGTCCTAAGTTTAGATGTAATAGGAAGTATTGCATTTTTTGCCATAAGTCATTACAATAAGCTGAGTCTTCAGTTGTTTTCTCTGTACCCTTCCTGAATTGAATATTTGAATCAGGAAAATCCTATATGAACTAAATTAACCATATAACAGGCTGCCTCTATTTTACAATCTCAATGTTGACTTGAGAATATGATGAGCTATATCATTGTTTTGTTTTGTTTTTGGACATAAGGGACTTTACTTGTTCTTTATATCAAGGCATAATTTCCACTCAAGATGATCATATTTAGGGGTATATGAAGATAGTTGTTAAAAGTAAAGGCTCTTAATTGATCTTTCACTGCTAGTATCCAATAAGATTTACCAAGTATTTATAGCTACATGGTGACATTCTCATTGTTACATGGAAAAAGGGAGTCCGAATCCTCTGGAAATAACATTTTGAATTTGATTCTCATATGTTTTGGAATGCGATTAATTTCTGCTTAATGTTCCTTGCAAGTAAATACTTCCAGATAACCAGCTAACTTAGTGCTGTGACAACATATTGATTGACTGACCTCCTTAATTAACTAAGATTTCTTTTTGGTCTTTGTTCAGCGTGCAAGAGAAGGGGACAAAAGGCAAACCAAATTAAAAGCCCATATCATTTTTCTTTCTTTAATTTCCAGGGAAAAGTTCAGGTTATATAGATTCAGCCTAATCTCTTACACTTTCTGCATTTGCATTATTCCATCATGATCACTGCTCTTAACAGGATGACCTGATTCTAACCCCCTCCATAAGAGGTATTATGATATCTTATGTCAAAGAAAGATTCTGTTACTCCAGCAATTGGTTTGCAGAATTAATTAATGAGTATGTCACTTAAGATTAGTAGTTTGAGTTTTTTTTCTGCAAAAGAGATGATGTCAGCCCAAGTCCCCTCCAAGAAACATGTGGCACACTCAAATTGAATACTTTGACTACTTTCAAAGGTATGGGTAGGGTTTAGGGAAACTAAGAAAGGTAATTCATTAGCCCTGCCCATTAACAGTGGAGGGTGGGGCAAATGAGGCTACCATCCCTAGGCCTGAAGAAGTAAGACGAAGGAGCTGTTATCCAAAGAGACAGTGTCTCTATTTCCCAAACCCAACTGGAAGCCACAGCAATCCATGGGATCAGCTTCCCAGGGTTCAGAGCAGGTACAGAGTGGATCTGGAGCAACAAACAGAAGAAGTGTAGGACAGGAGAAGAGGAAATGAAAAATCAATAACATCAATAGTGGTTAGACTAGTAGCAAACCAAGCTGGATTGCAGGTCTGGGACTTGAGAAAGGAAGAAAACAAGCATTTATTGAGTGCTGTTCCTGTTACTACCGCTCTCTAACAAACCAACCTAAATTTGGTTTAGTAAAACAACCATCACTTTATTATGCTTGTGGATTCTCTAGGTCAGAAATTAACACAGGGCACAGTGGGGATGGCGTGTCTCTGCTCCACGATGTTTGGCACCTCGGCTAGGAAGACTAGGATAGCTGGGGGTAGTTCAAATGCCTGGGGGCTAGAATCATCTGGAGGCTCCTTTACTTACATGATTGGCACCTGGGCTGGGTGACTCAAAGGCTGGGCCCCTGTCTACTGCAGCACATGTACCTAGCCCTTTTAAGGGCATGGGCTTCTTACACCTTAGCAGCTGGAGTGTCCTGAGAGTGAGAGATCCAAAAGAATCAGATGGGAGTAGCATGGCCTTTTATGACCTAGTCTCTGAACTCACACAACATCACTTCTTCGTTTGGTCCAAGGCCAGAGTAACTAGACACCATGTCTTGATGGAGGGATGGCATGTTCACATTGTAGAAGAGCGTGCTGGATGAGAGATTATTGTTGCAGCCATCTTTGGAAAATACAACTTGCCATATACACATTCTCTATGGCAATATGAACTAACATAATACATATTATATAATAATTTCCAAATAATTTTCAAGTCGTAAAATTATATTAACCAGGATAATGATTACATTACTTATTATCCAAGGTTTCCAGTGACTAAACTTTAACTTTGCCTTCTCTTCATGGGTTATAAATTTTAAAATGTAGAAGACACTTCTAGAGACCAACTAGCTCAGCTTCCTGCCCTCAAACAGTCTGAATGTCATTGTTCTCATTTCCCTGCAGTTAGCCAAACAATGGGTAGAAGGAAAAATAGAGACCAGAACCCAGGAATCTTGGCCTTTATTTATTTGTTTTATTTATTTAACCATAAATTGATAAAGAATAAAATTATAAATTAAATTTTACCAAATGAACACACAGCACCAGAATTGAGGAAGATGCACCTGGCCAGGTATTGTGTTCCTATTACCTGGGGAAAGTCAACCTACTGGGTTGGGGCCCCTCGTTGGAAGATTTGGGCTTAGCTTTGCATCTGTCGTGTGAGAACTCAAGGTCTAGAGAATGGAAGATTAGTGTTCACCATGACCATTAATTCCAACAGAGAAACTCAGGCACATGGTTATTAATTTTCCCTTACACACTCAACAATATCTGCCTGGCCAGTCCATCTGTTCATCTTGCTGCTTGTCTCGTGGGTTGACCAGTGCGCTGTCATTAACTTTCTGAAGGGGATTTTCTGTAATGTTCTGTGCCCTTCTGCTATTTCTGGAGTCAGGAGCACTGAGCATACTTATCTTTGCTATTCATGCACAGAAACAATCCTTTGTTGGGATATTTCCAACCTTTTAGAGTCATCTGACAGTTCTCTTTTATGTTTTGACATTAAGAATTTGCTAAACTACCCAAATTTTAATGACACTTCTGAGTATCTAAGCTTTTTCTTTTTCCTGCTCTACACTGGCAGATACATGTTGGCTTTTCTGGCTTCAGCCATTCTAGTCTCTATTCCACTCACATTGTCTAAGACTTCTCTACAGATGTTTGTGTCTTTCCAAACAATGACTCACTCATTGTGCCATGAAAATTCCTTTTATACTGTTGTTTCCAGATGTTGACAGCGTTTTATTTATATGACAAAAGAAGAAGAACACCTAGTCTATCAGTTGAGAAAGCCTAAGTGGTTGAAAGGTTACCTATCTCTTCAAAAAGAATAAAGTATTGTTTTATTTAACAATAAAATATTGTTGATTCATTTTAAAGGATTCACGTACTGTTTTGCACCTCCCTCTGACATTTATTTCCCCCCTGGGAAAGATTTGCCCTGAGCTAACATCTGTTGCCAATCTTCCTCTTTTATTTTTCTTTCCTCCTCAAAGCCCCAGTACATAGTTGTATATTCTAGTTGTAAGTCCTTCTAGTTCTTCTATGTGAGCTGCTGCCACAGCATGGCAACTGACAGATGAGTGGTGTGGTTCCATGACCGGGAACCAAACCCAGGCCGCGGAAGCAGAGCGTGCCGAACTTTAACCACTAGGCCATCAGGGCTGGCTCCCCTCTGACATTTTTAAATGGTGACGTGCCATCTCTGGCATCTTAGTATGTGAGCCAGCCTGGGTGATCGGGCTGGACTGAGTCCATGGTGAGGCAATGTGAAGCGATGAGTAGTAGGAGAGATGGCCCCAGTTTGGGTCCTGCCAGCTGTGAAGCTGTGGGGAAGCCCCTGGATGTCCTTGGTGCTAAGGTGAGGAGGTGGCCAGCTTATTGGTGTACTCATGGCCTTTTCAATTCTGGAGTTCTGTACACCAAGGAGCCCACTCCATGCCTGGATGCCCTGAGAGCTCAGGGTGCCAACCTTTGTGCAAGCTGATGGCTCTGTCCCCAGGGGTCTCAGTCTTAAGTCTTCTCACCCAGTGTTTCACATTTAACACTGAAGTGTTAGCACTCTCAAGACAGGTGATGACTCTCTTCCTCTCTGCCCCTTCACCTCTCAATCCATGACATTTTGGCCACTCCTCTAAGTTCTTTTGCTAATGATATCCTAGTTAGGAAAGCCAGTGGTCCTTTTCCTTTCTCAACCTGTGTGACTTCATTGTGCCTCAGTTTCTTCATCTGTCAGATAGCAATAATGATAGTGTTGTCCTCATTAGGTTGTTGTGAGGTTTCAGTTATTATATATTATAATAGAAAATAGGTAATACATTATATATATATTTATATACATATATGTATATATATTTGTCTGGGATATATATATATATGTACACACACACACACACACACACACACATACAGTTTTGAACAGCACCTGGGACAAGGCAAGCACTACATGTTAGCTGTTATTCTATATCCAAAGTCAAGTCCAGCTACAGATGTGCTTGGTTTGCTTGTAGACCCTCCACCCTCTGTGTGCTTCTCTTACTCACATTACTGACCTGGTTTCAGAAGGCAGCAGTGTTATCAGTCTCTGCTATCAAAATCCTCTACTTTAAAAAACATAACCTCTCAAGCTTCACAACATTTGTTTTGAATTTTATTTCTGTCTTTCAGAGTTTATTAACCCCAACTAATATAAAGGTCCCTACCTCTTTTATTCCTTTATTAAACTAATAATGTAGCAATTGTAACACTTGGTGATGATATCTGCTTTCATTATTTAAATCTCACTTTGTTTTTTATTTAGCATATATGTGTTAGTCTTGGACCCACAGCCAGATTGCAATCTCCATATTAAGTTATATATTAATCTACCTGTGTTATCTGTAGTCCTTCCTAAGTAAGATCTCTTCCACCCATGGCCAGCTGCAGCACAGGTGGATAGGAAGTCTCCATTCCTCATCCCTACTTTAAAAACCAAGTAACTTATGGACAACTTTCTCATTAGCCATAAGCACTTGACACGATGAGAGTCCTCACCTGACATGGAGCATGTGGGGTCAGGATTCAATACATGTGAACCTTTCTTCCCGAACCCAGGTATCCGCCGCCAGACTGCCCTTTGTGTGAAGAAGGGCCACGGGACGGTGAAGGCTACATTTTGTGACCCAGAAACACAGCCCAATGGGAGACAGAAGAAGTGCTATGAAAAGGATTGTCCACCCAGGTAACCATTGATAACAGCTGGAGCTCCATGTGTCTGCCTCGAGTCGTGTCAGATTTAGTGGTAATCCAATGCTCGGTGATAAAGGAGGGCTGTGTGGCTTTGTTATTAGAATAAATACAGGAGAACTGTTACAGGTTTCTTTGGCTCTGCTGTTGGAGCCTGTGGCATGCTGTGAGTGAGGACTCTTTCTACCCAGAGAGCAGTATTTCTTACAAAGCTGGTATATTCTGTGTTTATTTGGTAAGACTAAGTCCCAAAGCGTTGTCGAAGAGAATGCTGTGTAGGTCACCCAAAAGTTCTTTTGCTAATGGGTGTGGCTTTTCCAAGACCACTTCACCCGTGCAACAGTAGCCTCCAGGCAACACGTTGACACCTTCAGATTGTCAACACAAATAATCCATAATCAATCTATAAATCAAAATTGGGGTAAGTTTATTATGACCCAGATCAGAGGACTAGCCCAGAGCCTTCCTTGCCCAGGGAAGGAAGGGCACGAAAGAAGTGGGGTGTACAGAGTGGTTATATACCATCTTGGAACAAAGAGCATACATCACATATGATAGGAATGTCCCACTTACAGTTGTCATGAGATGCTTAGCTGGCACAGCAGGTCGGTGGTCAGCAGGCCAGTGGTCACAAGGTGAGCACAGCAGGTGGGTAATTTAATCCTTAGTTCCCAGGAAGAGATGCTTATACTTAAAGAAATGACGCTATGGGAAGAAGCTACATCCCTATCTTTAAAGGCATCATTCTTGTCTTTGGGACATTGTAAATGTTTAAAGCAGATGTACAACGCATGCTCAACAGGCCACGTCAGGCCCTTTTGGAAAAACAAGGTCAGGCCAAATTAGTTTTATGCCAAATGGCTTCCTCATATACTCCAATATATCCTATTGCTTTTCATTTATTTATCAAGATCACAGCACCTATTTGCGCTTTAGGCTGCCTGAAAGAGTGGACTTACAGAGCAGGCTTTCTCAATCTCAGCACTATTGACATTGGGGCTGGAAAAGTATTTGTTGTGGGGGGCCATCCTGTGCATTGTAGGATGTTTAGCAATATCCCTGGCCTGTATCCACTTAGATGTTAGTAGCATCCCTCCTCTACCTCATCTAGGTTATGACAACCAAAAATGTCCCCAAACACTTGCCAAATGTCTCCCACAGGGCAAAATCACCCTTGGTTGAGAACCACCGTTATACAGCTACTCATTTGCTGTTAACCATATTGGTTCAAGATATTGGGATTCTCGAAGGTAGCTGGGATGTTATTATGAAGGGCTTATGTTAAAAAGAGAGAAAGAGAGGGAGAGAGGAAGAGAAAAGGAGAGAAAGAAGAAAGAAGGGACGAGAAGGAAAGGGAAAGAAGGAAAGAATGAATTCTGTGGCATGTCTACATTCTCTAGTGACCTTAAACAGAGATGTATTTAGGTTGCAGATCCCAGAGGCATTCATTCCAGTCCTAAGAAGACAGGCTAAGAGGAGTTTACTTAAACAGGAGGAGACTAGTTGATATCATAAATCAAACAAGTGACAGGCTGAATTCTAAAGAAGAGCTGGAAGAAGGTGATAGATACCAAAGAACTGGATAAAAAAGGAGAGTCTAGACAAGTCAGTTAAGGCAAGCAGTGTCAGTCTCTTATAGGTTCCAACAGGCAGTACCCAGAGGCCAGGGTGTTCTCGTCTCAGAGTCAGCAGGTTCATTCTCTCTCCAGTTCTGTGGTTTCTTCTGGGTCAGAGGCGGGCTGTGAGGTCCAGAGCTGGACCCCACCTCTACCGAGGCAGGACAGAAGTGCTGCCGTCACCTCACCTTGCCGTGGCTCTTCCCTGTAACTCTTTACTGGGAAGAACTAGGAACTTGAGGACAAGATTAGGCCAGCACTAGATTTTATATGTAATTGCAGTTTCTATAATACCTTCTCAGGGAAGAGTGAGCCAGGAAAGAGGATCCTTTCTTAGAGCTAATTGATAGCTTTCTACTTTGCAGAGTTCACGTGCTTCCATCATACTCATTCTCCCTCAAAGTTCATGACCCTCTACCAATAAATTCCTTCTGCACTCATTAGATAGTAACCACTACACCCAAGCCTGGGATTCTTGCCTGTTGCTATGCAACCTCCCCAAATCTTCCCAGGTGTCCTTGGAAACCCATCTCAGAGAGCAGGCAGAGACCAAGGGGAAAAAAAAAGCCAAGCCACTCCAGATTGGTAGGTGGCAGGTTTAATAAGCAAGGGAACTTACTTATGAGGCTTGTTTTGGGTGGCTACAAGATGAGTAGACTTCCACACCTACCCTCCAAATCCTAAAAGTTCATATTGAGGCCTTAACCAGGTTCAGTCACACACAGGGGAGCTTGACTGGGTTTAGTGCATGCCCAGCCCAGATAGTCTCATCACCATATTACTGTCTCAAGGCTGCACCCTTGAGGCAGCCTCTGGGAGTGGGGAAGGAGAGGAGAATGCACATTCCAAAGACGGGAGGCTGAGGGAGCCTCCCAGTTGCCTGGGCCCAAGTCACAGGTCGACTGGTGGTCACGTCTTTTTGATGGCCTTCCCCAACATTGCCTCACTTTTCAAAACCACTCTCTCTGGTGGATTGGCTACCTTCTTAAAACCACAGCTACTTATTTCCTGAATCTAATTTTATCCCTGAGGTTTGGGTTCTCATTTTTTGTTGTTTTACGTAGTCTGCCTTGGCCTTAATGTTACCAGCAAATATCTGCTAAGCGTTCATTTGAGAGTTACAATGGTGATAATAACCATATAACAGTTACCATTTATTGAGCACTGTGATATTGTGATATAATAAAAGATATATATTTGGTTTCTATCCCTGGTTCCTGGCAGAGCTCCTAAAACCTTTGGAATCTCTGCAGTGGAAGGGGTAAGTGTCTTTCTGTACATCAATGAGATGACTGGTGGCTGGGGCTTCCTGGATAGCCTCGGGATGAGGGCTGGTTGCCAGAGGACCCAACCATATGGTTAGAGGGTTGGAACTTTCAGCCCCACCCCCTTACCTAGTAGGGAGAGGAGAGGGGCTGGAGATTGAGTTAATCACTAATGACTAATGATTTAATCAGTCATGCCCTTGTATTGAAGCCTCCATGAAAAACCCTAACCAAAGGCGTGTGGAGAACTTCTGGGTTGCTGAACCCATGGAGGTGCTGGGAGGATGGGACACCTGAAGAGGGTATGGCAGCTCTGTGCTCTTTCCTCCATACCTTGCCCCATGCATCTCTTCCATCTGGCTGTTCCTGAGTTGTATGCTTTTACAATAAACCAGTAATCTAGTAAATAAAATACTTTCCTGAGTTCTGTGAGCAACTCTAGCGAATTATCAAACCTGAGGAGAGGGTCATAGGAACCCACTGTTTATAGCCAGTAGGTCGGAAAGAAGCACAGGTGACAACCTGGACTTGAGATTAGTGTCTGACAGTGGGGGTGAGGAGCCGTCATGTGGGACACAGCCCTTAACCTGTGGGGTCTGTGTTAACTCCAGACAGTGTCAGGATTTCTTGCTGTGGAAAATCCACACATATGTTGAACCAGAAGTGTTGTGAAAGTGTAGTAGAAGAAAACAATGGGATTTTTTGTGAGGAAGATTAGCCCTGAGCTAACATCTGTCACCAATCCTCCTCTTTTTGCTGAGGAAGACTGGCCCTGGGCTAACATTTGTGCCCATCTTCCTCTACTTTATATGGGACGCCACCACAGCATGGCTTGACAGGCAGTGCGTTGGTGCACGCCTGGGATCCGAACCCCCGGCCGCCACAGCAGAGCCTGTGCACTTAACCGCTGTGCCCCCAGGCCGGCCCAACAATGGGTCTTTTTTTAAGCACCTACTTCACTCTTGGCAATGTTTTAGAGATGCCTCATATATTCTCTTTATTGTTTTCAACTACTTGGAAAATAACTATTATTATGCCAATTTTACAGAGGAAGAAATGTTCATTACCTCACTGAGTATCATGCAACTAGTAGATAGCAGAGGTTTGAATCCAAGGCTGGCTAGCTGTAAGCCTGCCCAAGGTCTACATACAGCAGACCCACCAAAGAGAGGCATGCACCTCTCCCCTTATTCGGTCTGTGTCTAAAGCAAAGCAAACACTGTGCTAGATGTGGTGGGCACCAAAAGATTTTGATGCAGGCACTTATCTGCTGAGGCCCAGGTAGAGCTGAGGACATCGGCTGTTTACATAAAAGCAACACTGTCAAAGAAGACTGTGGATTCGGTATCAGCTCTCTGTTTTAGAACAAACATTAGTCTGTGCCTGACATTTTCCTATTCATTTGCTGCTAAAAACCTGGCTTCACCATTTTCAGAGTTTACTTCCCATAAGGATAGTTTTCCTTACCTACCTCTGCACTCTAATTACCAGAACTTTCTAGTTGAAGGTAACCTTATAGTAAGAATCAACCAGTGCTCGAAGGAGGTCGATATTGGGGCAAGAGTCCAGAGGCTGAAGGACAGGAGATGAGCTGAGGCTGAAGCCTGGTGGATACAGAGGAGGAGCCTTGATAAAGGAATTCTTAAGTGATACAGGCTGAGCTCTGTGGACTTGAAACTGGCCCTGAATGCGGCCATGTGGCGGGCTGAAAAATAGCCCCCAAGATATCCACGTCCTGATCCCTGGAGCCTGCAAATGTTACCTTATTTGGAAAAAGGGTCTTTGCACATGTGATTAAGTGAAAAGGTCTTGAAATGGGGAGATTATCCTGAATTATCCACTTGGGCCCTAAATGCTATCACAAGTGTCCTTATAAGAGAGAGGGAGAGGGAGATTTCACCCACACACACTCATACACACAGAGGGGAAGGCGATGTGAACACGGAGCAGAGAGAGATTTGAAGATGCTGGCCTTAAAGATTGGAGTGATGGGCCACAAGCCAAGGAATGCTGGCAGCCACCACAAACTGAAAGACAAGGAACGGATCTTCCCGAGAGCCTCCACAGGGAGTGCAGCCCTTCTGACACTTTGATTTCATCCAGTTAATACTGTT